TGCCACGTGCACCACGCACGTGTACATTTCTTAGAAAAATTAATTATCTATCGTCTTCGAGTGCGACCGATCCCGCAGACAGCTAGCCGGAGCGCAGGGCAAGCAAGCTCGCCCCCGCCCGGGTTCTCACCTCTCCCGAGCGGAGTGGCCCTCGGTGTTTTGGTGAGCACCACCACTCCCGGGCGGATTGGTTACCCCCGGTGCTACGATGGTGTTTTTCATGCCGAGACACTCATGGTGTTCGACGAATACGGCCACAGGTTTCCCCGTGCACGTAGGGCTTCGAGGCATGGAAACTCGCCATGCCTGCTGCTTTTGACCAGTCGTCCCCGAAAACCCCGCTAAATTCATTAAATCTTATGTTTATCTTTAAATTCTCATCCCATGCTCTGAAATGCCTCAATTGGCCAGTTCTATCCGTAACAATACTCTCGACGTTTCCAAATTACCTATTCAATACGATAAAATGCACGAAATGATGTTTTCTTAACAAGTAACTATTGTAGATGCGATAGAAAATATTAGTAAATGCATTACGTAATTACTTTCGTCAAATTTATTTTCATTTAAGCTTCAAATGAAACATAAATGTTTATGAATATTTTTATGTCATCAATTTGTGTCAGATTTTATGCTTTGAATTCAGTCATTGTTCTCTTTATCCGAGATTCACCCATATTAAAAATGTTATTGAGATGTTTATTAATTTATTTCGTCAAGCGTTAAAATTTTAACTGCGTTATTTTACGGTACTTTTACGATATCACATTTTACATGACTTTTTATTCCCAACAATTTTTATTTGCAGTAAATTAATATTTAACATCCAATAAACGAAAGAGAATCAATGTGACAATTTTTTTTAATTCAATAAAATTTTTTATCGGAGGAAGTGTTTTCTTGCTACGTTACACAATCTCATATTATAGTTTTTATTACAATGTATCTTTTTAAAAAATATTCATTATTTTACGTTCTCATATAACGTTTTATAAAATTATATTTATATAACAAGAACGACATTTAAATTTAAAAAATATGATATTGACTTTATTTATATAAATGCTACGTTATAAATATTGTAAATATTAAATTTAAGTGTACAAAGCGATCATTTGGTTTCGTTCATATAATTATTTTTGTTAAATGTATATCAACCTTTCCTACCCTCCCTTATGTAAAAATTAGTGAAAAAGGAAGTTAAAATATTTTTTAATTTTTCTAGAAACTGTCACCGTAGCTGATGGATGTATTAATATTTCGCAAACAAAACTGAATTAAAATTATGAAATGAATCATAAAAGCAACTTTGATATTTCTTCCAACAATACGAACAAATTTTTCAATTAGTACCATCTCTGTTAATGAATGTTACGTTTATTTGAACTATGCATTATAAATAGAAAGAAAATATCTGGATATCGTTTCGAAATCCAGAGGTGAATTCGCTTGCGTTTGTTCGATCGTTTATGTGAAAGCATATCCCATCAAACAGAACATCTGCTCCTCGAAAAAAAGCCATGATATCATGCAGCCTCCATTTTACAGTTCGCCTTACATAAGTTCATTTTTTATGGACACAATATCTCAAATATACTTTCTTCATTTATCTTTAAACCTTCGTTGCACTTTGTTGGAAGTATGTTACAAAAAATAATATATTACAAAATTCTTTTTTTCAAACAGAAGCGTGTTGCAAATTTGATAACTGATGAAATTGTCACAAATATATTTTTGTCTTTTATAATATCTTAACAAATTTTATAATTCAAAATAAAAAAATTATGAACCGGTTAAATGACTGGTATGATAGTTTTAGTGTTTAAGTGTTAAGGGAATGTAATTTTATAATTTGTACAAATTTTTATCTATTTTTTAAAATGTTGCGAATTTTCTTCCTCTTCACTTTATTCAAATAATTTCATTCGAAGAAATTTGTAGTATACACAACTTCGATAAACGTTTCAATAAAATCTACATATTCCGTTTCCAACAAACTCGCCAAGTTACACGAGTAAGACTCGTTGTACATGCAGAGTTGGTATCGTCGAGGAAACCACAAAGAGGAGTGTCCATTTTTTCGTTTGTTGCATCGAACGCAGCATCCGTTCTCCAGAAAGGGCCATGACATCAGCGAGCACTCCTTTTGTAGCAGAATTTTAACTTCTCGTAAGAAATGCTCGCGAAAACGGTGAACGGATAAAGCAAAATTGAACCAGTGTATAGAACTTTGTAAATTGTGAGAAAAGCAAAAGAACCTCGTCAAAGGAAGATCAATGCCAGCGGTATTTGCAAAACGACGAGCTGTATAATAGAGCGTGTTTCTTTCGGTTTTACGATCGCCCTAGGCCACAGTATTCAAAGATTTACGACGAACAATCCAATGAAATTTGCATGCAACTGGTCGAGATACCGGTATTGTCGTTCGATATTCTTGAATAAATGAAAAAATTGCCAGGAAATTGATTTTCATCTATATTTTCTTTCACGTTTGATCATCGCACGTCTCTCCCACGTTTCTTGGATGTTCCAAACGTACGAACACGCTTCGTCCTCCCATATCAACTCATAACTCTAAGCTATTTTGATAGAACGTCTGATACCTGTATGGATTTTGAATAATTATGCAAAGTTTAAAATAGGTGTTGCGTGAAATCGTTCGACGATATTATAGAATGTCGTTACTTTTTATTGTGATGTCATTACAGTTCTTAGATATTGAAAAGCTTAGTTGAAATCTAGTACTATTACAATAAGGACTGATCAGTGTAATTTTAATTATGGTTAATTGTTTAGGAGATTTTGAATCAATATTCTTTAAGGTTCAGTGTTGAGGATTGCATTAATTGTAACAAAGATGGCGATATAATATGCAATGCACCATTAGCTATATTCAACTATTTTTAGGGATGAATACATAGTAATGTGAGATGTATTATAATTTTTCTTTTTGGTACTAAATTTTTTAATTTAACTACTCTAAATTTGTATAGAGAATGAATACGATACTTAAAAAATATTAAATGTCGATTAATCGATTTTTAAATGACAAATGAAGTTTGAAAAATAAACTTATACGAGTCTGTTAATAATTATCACTCTGAATGTTGTGTAATTGATACAATAAATTTAAGGTAATTAATTAATTGTGAACATTTTTTCTAATCATGCTAATATTATACAAATTATGTGAAGTATCAATAAAAAATCATATCCTGATACATAAAATAATTATGTACTTTTTCTGTACTCCACTGCATATTATTTTTATTACAGCATTTAACATCAGAAATAATTCATAAAAATTCCTCGATAAATAAGCAAAGAAAACAAACTTATGATATTTTACTCAAATTTTACTTTGAACATTTTTTCCAATGTCACCACAAATATTTCCATTTTAAACGCATTAACATGTTAGTTTAAATTGTGCAGAGATACAAATTTAAACCACGTGTTTATAAACTTAATTCACATCAAGCAATCATCAAATTATTCATAAAAATTCTGTGAAATTTCACGTTTGATATAACCGACAGGAAAACGTATTAAAAATTTCTTTTCAGTCACTGCATAAATTCTGTATATTACAGAATGTGCGTAATATTTTTTTGTACTCAAATATTTGCGTACGCTGTAAACAAAACAATTAAAGCTATGTAATATTTCTATTGTTCAATTTAAAATTCCTGTCACAATATTGTTTTTAAAATTCATAAAAATTCCATCATCAGCAAATTTCAGTCGCTCGATCACAATCGCTGTATCACAATGGAAATTGCCGACAATGTCAAGCTTAATTAAACCATCGTTCATTCCATTCATCGTATCTTTGAAGTTAAAAAAAAGGGTCAAAAGGTTTCGAGAAAATACTGGCAACACTGCAATGGCCCAAAAGGTCGCTGGATACAGCGGTACCAGAAAGGGCCATGACGTCATGCGGATGACTCGTTCGGAGCCGCTTGCCTCCTGATGTAAAGATGCAATCCGTACTTGTCGTGGAAAAAAAAGAGAAGAAGAACTCGTAAAGTCTTATCTGACCGCAAACCGATAGAGGTTCGTTAAGAACGAACAACTCTTCAGATTGCTTTGCATTCTCTTAATAAATTGTCTTATCACCTTGTCATTTCTTCCTCAGTTCTTCTCGTGATATCTTCCTCACGTTAATTCAATCATTAATTGTTGCAGTTTTATCAAGGTATAAGTATATTTTAAATTCACTTAAAACTAATTTTCACTTAACATTCAATGCATTTTTTTAGTAAATTGTGCATAGGTTCCATAATTGATCTTTTTTAAAAATTATAGATGATTTTGATGAAGTCTGATGAAATGGGTATTTTTGTAACATTCTCTTCTTACGTTATTGGTTATGTATTACAAAGTGACGTAACGAAAATTAAATGTTTGAGTTACATAAATAATAGTTAAATAACTATAATATTATAAGTTACTGTAAGTTAAATATATAATAGTTATTACAAGTTATTGTAAATTAAATACATAAGAGTCAAATATGTGTTTTTTTTTTCAAGAGGTTAGTATGTTATGATAATAAGAAAAGATAGCATTTCATTAGCATAAGTAAAAGATATGTTTCTTTAACTACATAGTTTAAGTATTGAAGAAATAAATTATGTATCAAAACATAAATCAATAACAAGTATTTCTCTTGATTGTATTTATAATATAATAGGATTTTGAATAGATAAAATTTTCTCTAAAAATTGCATCAAATTTTAATAACTAATTTTATCTAAATAATGAAGATTCTATTTGTTAGTTTATATCTCTTTACTTTTTTCGTAAATTCATCTTTACAATCTAAATATGTGTGAAACGAACATTGTACAATAGTGTATACATAAAAGTGATACGTTACTTTTTTCATAATTCGAAAACTGCAATTACTTTACTGAATTTTACTATCAGTGGATGCTGCAAGATAACCTTATTTAATGCAATAAGGAAGCATGAGGTTTCTGAAATGAAAATTTAATTTCCGGCATTCATATTTGCATATGAGAATCCTTTTAGCTTCCAAACATATGTGGTGCCCCGTAATTGGTAATATAATTAGGAAGAAAATAACTGTAGGTGAAAAAATAATTTGGAAATACAATATGTATGTGTTGCGTTTAAAATGTATCATATTGTAATGAATGCATCAATTTGATCCTTATTAATTAAAATTAAAATGAATCGTAAACTAAATTAAATTTTTATGAATAATTTCCGATGTATTCCGATGTTTTGCATTATTGGAGGATAAAATTGTTCTTCTGTTAATTATTCAATTATAATTTCATTAAAATGTACAAGTTAATATAATTTAAATTCGTATAAGGCAAATATTTAATAAGCAAAAATAAATATTTTAAAGAAATGCATTAACCCTGTAAAAGTTATATAATATTTATATATTTATCTTTATATAGCTGTATTCAAAATTATGTAACGATACATGATATTTATGGAACTAATTGTTAGGTTTTAATAAAAAAGTGTTTGGAGATAAAAAATAACAATTATTTAAAAATATCATTAATTTTTATTGGAACTTAACACAATAGCATTAGGTGTTTTGTTGCTGCTAAATTATTAATATGCTGGTAATTATGAAAATTCATAACTCTTGTTTATATTCAAAATAAAAAATTTCTAAAGTTTACAAAACCTCAAATTTTCAAATATCTAAATTATCAAGTTAGCTAATTTTTAAATTTTCAAATCACTGAATTTCTCAAATCCTCACATTGCAACAATTCTAAATCTAAAAATTTATATCAAGTGATATCTTTTCTTTTTCTTGAAATATTCAAAATCCAAAATTCTTAGATTCACCAAATCCTAAAAACGTTGAAATATCTATATTTCCAAATTCCCTAACTCCTAATTCATAAATCTTTAAATGCCTAAATATTTAAATCCTGAAGTCATCAAATTGTAATAATTTTAAATTTAAAATATTGTAAATTATATATTTGCGATCGTACCTCACCGCAAGTGCAATAATGCACATGATTTTGTACAATTGCACTACTTTTCAAATGCAAACTATCATGTCCTTTGCAAACATCCCTCGCTATTAAAAGTAAAAAAACATTAAGTTATAGTACTAAAAAGGTTAATATTAATAGCTAGTGAGATATTTTAAATTCAAACGTGAAACGAAGGTTTGAAATATCTGGCAGACTGCTGAATCTTTTTAACGTTTTACTTTAAAACTATTTCATGTAGAATGATAGGAGAATTCTGCATATGTAAAAAAAGAAAATATCCTTTAAAAGAGAACAGTGCAACTGAAAAATCGACATGCAGTGTGACAGCTGCGAAATATACAGCCATGTATAATACACTTTGAAAGATTCATCTCTTTTCAGTAACATTTTTTTTAGTTTTAGAAAAAAGGTATGATATGCTCAGTTGCGTGAATCACTCTATATATTGTCAATATTTCAACATTAGTTTAGAATGTATTTCTAGTAACTGGAGCAAGCCATATCTTTAACATGGTTACAAATAAAAAAAATTGTAAAAAATAAAATTATGTGCTATAGGAAGATCTATATTCCTATGACATCAATTTGGTTATAAATGTAACGATGCATATGTATAAAAAGTGCATGCATACTATCTTTCAAAATGGCACTTATATTATATATGTAGATTAATTCTTTGAAGCATTCTGCATAAAAGTGTTTGAATTTAATATTTAAATAACGATAGTGCATGGAATATTTCAAATTTAAAAAGAAGATATTCCATACAGAAATTTAAAACATTTTTCAAATCCCTGATCTTTCTTTGACTCTGTACTTCAATATATATCTTTTTACACAAAAGGATCACGAGAAACGATACGTGAAAAAACGAGAATATGTAGTTTCAAGTTTTAAAAATATGTATTTTTATTCTCTTTTTTAATCGTTAGTACATTAGATTTTACGCAGGTCGACTTTAGAGATCATCTTCTACAAAAAGGATCAGTATATAATATTTGAATAAATTAACAATTACTGAATTATTTAATATTTTTGCTACGTAAAATAAGTAATAACTGATAATTTAATAATTCAGTAATTCTGTAATTCAATAATTCAGTAACTCAACAACTCAACAACTCAACAACTCAACAACTCAACAACTCAACAACTCAACAACTCAACAACTCAACAACTCAACAACTCAACAACTCAACAACTCAACAACTCAACAACTCAACAACTCAACAACTCAACAACTCAACAACTCAACAACTCAACAACTCAACAACTCAACAACTCAACAACTCAACAACTCAACAACTCAACAACTCAACAACTCAACAACTCAACAACTCAACAACTCAACAACTCAACAACTCAACAACTCAACAACTCAACAACTCAACAACTCAACAACTCAACAACTCAACAACTCAACAACTCAACAACTCAACAACTCAACAACTCAACAACTCAACAACTCAACAACTCAACAACTCAACAACTCAACAACTCAACAACTCAACAACTCAACAACTCAACAACTCAACAACTCAACAACTCAACAACTCAACAACTCAACAACTCAACAACTCAACAACTCAACAACTCAACAAGTCAATAAGTCAATACGTCAATAAGTCAATAATTCAATAACTCAATAATTCAATAATTCAATGTTTCAATAATTCGATAATTCATTAACTTAATAATTCAATATTTTGATAATTCGATAATTTAATAATTTCATAGATTTAAAATTGAATAATTGAATACTTTGATAATTTAATAATATAATAACTTTTAATTATTCAATCATATATCACATTGGAGCATTTAACATTGTAATAATGTAGCAATATAATTATTTAACGATTCTGTTATATAATAATCTGATTTCGATTTTTTTGCTTTTCATTTATTTTTCCACATACAATTAGCCCCATATACTACCAGTTACCGAACACCCTGTACATAACGCTCGTCGATCATCGTAAAGTTTGACGTTTATCAAAATGCAACGTGGTCAGATACGTTCGAGATGTGATCTTCGTTCCAAGAAGAAACATGTCTCGTTGGGAGACCATCATTTTCATGTCACGTCGCGTCACGTCATGTCATATCGGCACAAGTCTGAAACGAGTTGCGAAAGAACGAATTCGCGGTACTTCTGTACCAGAGCATCGGGTGCGGGCGGACTTCGTGGGAGTCCATCGGTAATTCTCTTTCGACCTCCGCATTTGGAAACAACTTTCTGGTCGGTGACGCCATGGCGTTTCTTTAATCTCTTCTTCGATACGCGTGTACGAATCTCCAGAAATAATTTCATCGAAAATCGAAGAAAAACGCGAGACCGATGTTCTCGTTAACTCGCGCGGCAGCACACGCGGAATCAAATTAGTCCCTGATTATATCTGACATCATTCTATTCCTCGCTTTTTCTAATTTAATAGTGAAATTTTGAGATATAGAAAATTCGGAGTATAGGAATTTCAGAATATAGGAATTTTGGAATATAGCAATTTCAGAATATAGCAAATTCGGAATATAGGAGTTTCGGAATATAACAATTTTGAGATGTATTGATTTTAGGATATAAGGATTTCGCCATATAGGAATTTGAGAAAATAGGGATTTTGTAATATAGGAATTGTGGCATGTGGAGATAACAGGATATAGACTTTTCGGGCCATAAAGGTTTGGAGATGCAAAGATTTCGACACATAGAGATTTCGAGACATGGATTTCAAGATACAGAAATTGCAATATATAGAAATTTGGGTATAAAGGAATTTCATAATATGGAAATTTTGGAACATAAGAATTTCCAAAGAACATAATTGTAACTTTCTTATTTCTTACTATTTTTTCATGAAACTTTTACTGTTGTATTTGTCTAGATTTCCTGATTAAAATGACACCAAACATGATATAATTACGTTAACAATTGCGTGTGTAACGAGGGATTAAAGTTTTTAACATAAAAGAGGACGGCGAATGGAAAAGAAAGAGAAGCAGAAGGTTGACGCGTTTGGCAAACATGAAAGACTCGTGCGTTTTCCGTCTTTTAAATTCAAAAATCAAAATTCTTTATTTTTGGGGTTTCATCAATGAAGCTTTGATTATCGTATTCGTCTCATTTTTCTGATTAAAATGGTACCAAACACCGTATAATTAAAGTCATAATTACTTGTATAGCAAGCCTTTAGAAGGAATTCGCACCTCTACCGTAAATGTTACATCCCAAACTTTTATGGCTTCTTACATAAGTAATTACAATCGTAATCATATCGTGTTTGGTGTCATTTTAATCAGAAAAGCGAGACAAATACGATAGTAAAAGTTTCACTGACGAAAAACCAAAAATAAAGAATTTTAATTTTTAAATTTAAAAGACA